GTCGTCTTTCCTTAAACTATGAGACCAAAATGTACAACATAGCAATAAAGAAATATAGTACAATAAAAATTTCGGTTCCTTGCGAAACTTCGTCGTTCCTTTCCAGCCGTCCTGGAAAAGAGGAAAAATAAAACGTGTGAGTGCATGTCAAAAATACACTCGTACTTGCGTAGGGACACAAGATGAGCGGAAAAAAATAAACTAATACACTTACAAACAGCGTGAAAGCGATCGGAAAAAAATGGTTTTCTTTTAGGGTTTTTTATATATAAAAAATATATATATATACGCTCAAAAAAGATAAAAATGTTTTGTTTTTTTATTTTTTTATATAAATAAAAAAATGAGCATATTAAAAAAGTTTTATAATAAACAATGAAAGGGTAATTCGAGATAAAGCTTAAGTCCTACGTGCAATATTCGTTAAGATGTTCTGGAAATCTTACTCGTCTTCCAGAACGCGTTGTTTTAGGTTTTTCTATCGATGTTGACGAAGTATCAAGTTGTGTGTCGGTTGTCGTGTAGGGTCCTACGAGTGCAGTGGCTGTGTCGTTTGCTTGTACCGAAGGAAAATCGACGTAGCTAGGGTTTCCTTCTAAGTACGCTGCTTTGAGTCGATCGATACTGATGCTATCGTTCGTACCGTTCTTATCGACTACATAGTACTTAGGTTCGCGTTGAAGAACTTTGAAGGGTCCTTCGTATGCTGATTCGAGGGGTCGTCGATGTGAGTCTCGACGAACGAAGACGTGTGTACTATGTCGTAATTCGGGTTGAACGAAAACATCAGTTGATTGAGGTCGAGTGTGAGCAGGTTTAACTGAACGCATAGCGTTTGTAAGCCTACTGATGTAAGAGTTTAGATCCATGTTCAATGAAGAAGCTGAAGGATCTACGAATTCTCCTAGGAGTCGAAGTGTCGTTCCGTAAACGAGTTGAGATGCCGTGTATCCAATGTCAGCTTTCACTGCATTGCGGATACCTAGCAAGACGAGTGGAAGAGCGTCTGTCCACTGTGAAACGTTTGAAGCTGATAATGAAGCTTTTAATTGTCGATGAAAACGTTCTACCAACCCGTTTGCTTGTGGGTGGTAGGCGGTCGTTCGGAAGCGCGTGATTCCTAATAGTGAGGTCAGACAACGGAAAAGTCCAGATTCGAATTGGCGTCCGCGGTCTGTAGTGATTGTGGAAGGGCAGCCGAAATTTGCTACCCATCGTTCGACGAAAGCGCGGGCCACGGTTTCAGCAGTAATGTCCTTAATCGGTACTGCTTATGGCCATCGAGTGAAACGGTCTACGCATGTTAGGAGATATGAGTATCCGTTCGAGTCGGGTAAGGGTCCTACCAAATCTAGATGGACGTGGTCGAAACGAGCGTCAGGGGTTTGGAAAGAACCTAAGGGACATTTGTTGTGTCTGATTACCTTAGATTTCTGACAGCTTACACAGGAGCGTGCTCACTCCCTCACGTCTTTATTCATGCCAGGCCAACAAAAGCGTTCGGCTATAAGTTTGACGGTTGCACGAGCACCTGGATGAGAAAGATTGTGCAACGTATTGAAGACGTCGCGGCGATAATGTTTTGGTACAATTGGACGATCCCTATCTGTAGATGTGTCACAGAGTAAGGTTTCCTTACCTGTTCCCATCTGCCTAATATTTAGTTTAAGAGTTGTCGAGGATAACTCATGCTGAAGATCAATGTCTTTTTTTGAAGCTCAGCGAGTTTAAGAAGGTCGATTCCTTGGAAACTGTTCAAGGAGCTAATTCGAGACTAGGCGTCTGCGACTACATTGTTAGCTCCAGAAATGTGTTGTATGTCTGAAGTAAACTGCGAAATGTAGTCGAGTTGTCGAGACTCTCGCGGTGAGTACTTGTCGGAAGATGAATTTAAAGAGAAGGTAAGAGGTTTGTGATCGGTAAAAAGCGTGAATTCTCTTCCTTCGATGGAATGTTGGAAATGCCGTACAGCACAATACATAGCTAGGAGTTCCCTACCGAACGTGCTGTACCTAGGTTCCGCGTCTAGCAACCGTCTCGAGAAAAATCCTAAAGGTTGCCACGAGTTATTAACCTATTGTTGTAGAACTCCTCCGATTGCTGAGTCGGATGCGTCTACTGCGATACTAATGGGCGCTTGACTGTCCTGATGAGCAAGCAAGGTTGCTTTAGCGATGTGTTCCTTAACTGTGGAAAATGCTTTACGGGCTATGTCGTCTAAACTAATTGATTTCGCATTTCCACGAAGCTGATCCGTTAACGGTTTCATTAGGGATGCGCATTTAGGTATGAACTGTCTATAGAAACTTACAAGTCCGTTTAAAGTTCGTAAGTGCTTGATCGTGGTCGGTTCTGGGTAATCCAGAATGTCCGCCACTTTGCTCCTAAGGGGTCGGATGCCTTGGGCATCAGTGGTGTGTCCTAGTAAGTCTAAGGAGTTTGTTCCGATTTGGCATTTCTGTATGTTGACAGTAATGCCATGCCTTTGGAGTCGATCGAAAACAATGTCCAGATGCTTGAGATGCGATTCTCTGTCCGGACTTGCTATTAGACAGTCATCAACATACGCATGTACGAAGTTGAGACCTCGGAAGATGTCGTCTATATACCTTTGGAAGGTTTGAGCCGCGTTTCTTAAACCAAAGGGCATTCGTAGAAATTCGTAAAGACCGAAGGGAGTGATGATGGCGGTTTTAGGAATGTCGTCAGTTGCCATCGGGATTTGGTTATAAGCTTTAACCAAGTCGATTTTCGAAAAGACAGTTGTACCTTTCAAGGTAGCTGTCAAATCGTGAATATGAGGCAATGGGTACCGATCGGGAATGGTTTAAGCATTCAGACGCCGGTAATCACCAGTTGGCCGCCAATCATTGCTGTCCTTTTTAGGGACCATGTGCAATGAGGATGACCATGGACTATTCGATGGTCGAATTATCCCTAGGTCCATCATGTGGTCGAATTCGTTTTTAGCTAACTTAAGCTTCTCGAGAGCGAGTCTTCGAGCTTTCGAAAATACAGGTGGTCCTGTAGTCGAGATGTGATGTGTAACATTGCTGGTTACACAAGGCAATTTCGATTGCGATTGGTATATCCCGGGGTATTTGTTGAGTACTGATTGGTACAAGGGGTCTATGATGTGTTTAATCGTGACTGGGGATAACCTGCAACCAGAACAAGGAGTTACGCAAACAGATAGTTTAGTGTTTCCATCTATTAACCTTCGTCAGCGTGTGTCGATGAGTAGATTGTGGTGTTGTAACAGATCGATACCAATGATTGACATAGAGACATCTGCAACCACGAAAATCCGGTGTATGGGTTTGCGTAAACCCACGTTAAGGTAGACGTACCTTTTACCGTAAGTAGCGATCGGCTTTTCGTTTGCCGCCTGTAAACTTAAAACACACTCGCGAAGTCTGTCGTCGGGATTTGCTGGAAGAACGCTAACTTCTGCGCCAGTGTCGACGAGGTAGCGAACTTTCGTAGTCACATCCGTGACATATAAGAGGCGGCTGTGTTCGCCAGCTACGGTTGCCGTTAACGCGTACCGGCTGGGAAGTTTCCCGAAATCTTATTCGTGTCATTCGATTTTGAGGTCGGATAATTGCAAGGTTTACTGCAATTTCTGGAAAACGTACCGTACTTGTTATGATACCAGCACCAGTCGGGATTGTCTGTCTCTCGTGGTAGAGAGCCAGATCGTTTACGTCAGACGCTTCTACGCGGGGTTTTTGACCGACTACGGTCATTGCGAACTCTAAGATATCGTGTAAGCGTGTGACATAGTTCGGCCATGTCAGTCGAGGTCGATTGGGGTTTTTCTTTGACGGAAAAAACCTCGGCCTTAGAAGATCTAGTGATTTCCAAGATTCGATCGGCAGATGCAGCTAGTTCATCTATGGCATTGTTTTGAAATGAAACAAGCACTGCCTGCACCTGTTGAGGGAGTTTAGACAAGAAAAGTTGTCTAAATAGGCCATCATCGAAAGTTCGTTGGCCGATGACTTCTCTCATTCTAAACAACATGTCCGTCGCAGAACTATGCTGCAAGTCGATATTGTTAAGGAATTGGTCTAACCGTTGTCGATCAGTTAGGTTTCCTCGTTTTAAGATCGATAGCTTAAGCGTTTCGTAAGGTTCGGGAACATCACTAGTAAACATACTAGGTGTTACGTACCTGTTAAACTCGCACTGTAACGCCTTAATTACTGCGAGGAAACGTGTGCGCGAGTCGGTGATTCCGTGCATGCTAAAATCGGCTTCTGCATAGCAGAAGTAGTATATCACAATACATAAAATTCAAATAAAGAATAACAATGAATAATAATATTCCAAAATGGAACAGACTCACAGTATATTGTCTTGGTGTACCAGATCACGTCGGATTCACCAATGAAGGATGCAAACGGATGTTCTAGTTTTACAACTAGTTACCAATAGCACCTTCTATATTCGATCGATAGAAGTCAGATAGAAATCAGAAGTCAGACGAGAAGAGGCAGGAAAGATATATTTGATTCGTTACCAATATATCGAGGACCTTTTCTATAAGCTGGCTAATGAAACGTAGGAGCTGTGTCCCACGCCGTGTTGAAACGTGATCTGGTGCGGATTCATGACCGAAAGCCTTCAGTTAAACAAGTCCACTTAAACAACGTGGTCAGCATCCCATGTGGAACACTTAATGAGCTATTGATTTTGGGGAATTATTTACAGCTACACGATGATTATATACGAGGATTGACGAGATCAAATTAGAACCAGATCCCGAGCCATTAAAAGCGAACGGCACTTGTGGTTTCCTTTTCGTCTTGTGTCAGACATAAAGAGCGAGAGTCATTACTCGACAACTTCCCCATTGGAGTGATAAACTTTAATTTTTCATCTAGTACGATTGCTTAAGTAAGACAATGCTGACGTATGTATGATCTAACGACATTTATGCTCAACATTTATTGGTTTCTGCTCAAAATGTTCTGCAATTTAAACTTGTTGTGGATAAAAACAAAACTTCAATATTTAGAATGATTGTTTTATTGCTTCATTCCATTATTACAGGACTCAGTAGCACATTCAAGTATCGTCTATACCATGGCCGGAGAACTGATGTTAGGAGATTTTTTCACGGACTTCAATACAAATGAATTTGTAAGTCAACCCGTTTCTGAAGTTGATCATGTAGGACTCTGTTCAGTCCACTCAATCGTGGATGACTGACGTCTTTGAAACTCTTGATGATCAGCAAATCACTCACGATGATTTTATATTAGAAAATATTCCCGAAGAGATAAAAACTAAGTTGGATGCTCCTCTCTGTGATATTCTGAAAACGGAGAGTAAGTTCCACAGTGTGCTTATTACGTAGCTGTTGCAGATGATTTCTTTGTCGGCGATGAAATTGAAATAAGGGAATCTACTTCCTTGGTCTCCTCATTCCTAGACGACACAGCTAATTCTGATGAATCTAGTGGCTATGCATCTTGTGTGCAGTCTTCGAACAACTGTTCTCCAAACTTGGTCCACATGAATAGTGAATCTTCACGCCCTACAACTCTTCGTATAGTCCCAACGTCAGATACAAAGTCCTTTACTACTAACTCACCCCATAAAATCCATGTAACGCGTATCAATCCTCCGCAAAATAACACTACTGTCCAAGCAGTTTTACAGAAATCCTCTTTTAGGCTTGACGATAACAAACCCAATCGTGTCCACTTCATATTGAGACCTTTACCCTCAGATTCATCGCATAAAACAGTATCCTTAGATGAGATAAACCTTGAAAACAAATCTTCAGGAAAGCCCTCTTTCTTAAATGAGCACTCTAACCTTACCAGTATGTTGCAGAATACCAGTTTTTATCTATCATTCCTTTCAGATCCTAAAAGTTTATATAAATTATTGCACGTCAATAAAATTGAAGAAGACTCAGTATATGATCGAAGTGGTGTTGTAGAATCTTTAACGCCATGCGGATCCCAGTCGAGTTCAGAGTCTGATAGTAGAGATATTTACGACGATGACATGTCATGCCACGAAAATCTCAATGAATGTTCACTCGACCAGACCGGTTTCAAGAAGTCGCTACTCAGTCATCAAAACCTGAGCAGTCATTCTAGAAATGCTGGTACCAGCAAAGGTCTACCTAGATTGTCTGATATTGATACTCCATTCTATGATGATGGTTCATCCAGTGATTATTCACAGTCAACGAAGATCACACAACAGCGGTTTTTCCATGATCAGGTTAGTTATTAAGTACGTAATAGCATTTAAATGTTGATAGACTGAGTGAATAGTCTACGATCGTCATAACTCATTGCAGTCCCTTAGTAAATTCTTTGTTAAAGTATACAGATGTTTGAAATGCAGAATTTTGAGATCAAGATTTTTATTCTGGTAAAGGCGAAGTTGTATTTTCACATTGTCTCAAAAGCCGAGTAGTATATGAATGTCAGTTTTATTTGTTAAGGGCTTCGACGACGATTACTCGGTGCTGAGTCTACACGTCGTCAAAGTCAGTCAGCTACAATTCATCAGTGAAAGCACTTTCAGTCTACGCTTTTGAAACCTGGCCTCCGAGTTAAGAATGTGAAGAAAATCTGTGCTCGACCATCGTCTCTGGAAGGATTGCTGACATTCAGTAGCATCATCACATTACCAGTGCAGAAGTTCAGACACTGAAGACAATTCAGTTATCATCATCTTGAAACATTGATTTCCATGACTTTGGAATATTTTACGATTGTTGGCTCAGAGAACCCCATATTAGACATCCAATGGTGCCGAAAGTAATTGGAAAGAAGGAAAACGCGGTCGGGGTATGGAAGTTGTATGGGACTGACCCCCAAATGCCTTGGTACGACCGAGGGTAGGGAGAGTTTGCTCTCCCTTTTGAAATGCTCTCACGGCCACGCGTATACAGCAACTGCCAGGGAAGTCCTACTCATTGTCTTCTTGTGGCGGGGATATTGTTTACAAAATTGAGAAGGCGAAACACGAATGTCTGGCGCTTTAACCGGGTTTGTGGATATGGAGGGTCCACGTAGGGGAGTTGGAAAACCCTGATTCCAAATCAATGGTACACATGAACTTCAGGATCCTGAAGGAACAAATGGCGCATGAACCTATTGTTGATCATCGGCTACCATGGGATTGCATTTCGTAAAGTTGCTCCACTGCTTTGTGCATTAGACCTTCGGGTCAAAGGCTCGAGGTGTGGCGTTTTGAGAAAACCACCTGTTTCGGTCTGGGCACCCGGGCAGTATCACAGTTCCACACAAATCAATGATAACTGCTATTGTCCTCATTGTTTTTGTGTGTCGCATATGTATTTGATGCCCCCCTCGTACCAATGTTCAAATAAATAAATAAGCCTCTGTCGGCTTTTCGCAAACCCCCGGTTGGTGATCGACAAATAGATGTCAGATGTGACCCAGAATAAAAACCGGTGGCAGTCCTGCTGTAATTTTCTTTTACATTCGTAAATGTAAGAAACTTCTGTAGTCGAAATGGTTGTTACTGGTCGTATTGTTCTTAACTGAACTGCTTCACTAGTTACTACTCTCATTCACTTATTGTTCTTTATTTTGATTATGTTCATCATCCTCTATCTCTCCGCAATCTCATTTTCTTATTTTGCGAGGCGTATTTTTTGGTGCCAATTTATACTAATATTTGCGTTTAAATAAATAAAATAAAAATGAACATTACTTTAGGTTTTGTAAACAAAATTGTAGTAACTTTAGTTGAACTTTTAGATATGACAAATAACGTTTACGCTGGTCGCTTTAGTAAAGATACTCTACCTAGAGTTCATAAAATTACAATAGTATCAATATCCTATCCATGATAATTTAGAAAATGAAGTAACTAAGAATTGAGAAACATAGTATATTATGGGCACTCAGTCAGATTGAATGATATTAACATAGGCCCTCATGCAAATGTGTACGTATCATGGGAAACACAATGTATGTGTTATGAGTGTTAAACTTAAATGTATCAAATGATGTGAATCGACCTTATAAAAATTATCCCGTTTAACAGAATTTTAGTTTGCTAACTAGTTCTTTATCATAGGTACATACAGTGCACTTCAAATTGCGATCCTCAACAATATTAAGCACGAACTAAAATTTAAATGCTATTTATCCTTATGGTCTTCCTGCAAAAGCTTATAATGTTTCAAAGCTAAACACTAGTTCACAAAATATTTTCTCTCCTTTCCTACGTTGGCCTTTCAAGAATACCAATTATTTTCCACTCAGTAGTTAATTTTTAAAAATACAAGAAAAGATTGTCAAATCTTTAGGCAGTGGACATAACAAAACAAACATTTCTGTAATATTTATTGTTGCCATGATACTTCACTGTATTATGCTGATAACAATGTTTTCTACTAAAAACCTAACTTAACATATCTAGTAATTCGAGTTATATATAATACATGGATACAACTGGGATTTTGATTCTTACCATAATGTGCTTTGTACATGCCTACTAATAAACAGGTGGTTAACGGTTTTATCTTTAGGCAAACTTTTGTGCATTCTATATCAGTTCAAGACCAGTCCTTATCATTACTATTTATGTTACATACTGGGTATTTGAATATTCATATCAAGTTAAAAAAGCGTCTGACTATTCGACTCTCGAAAGCATTTTCGTAGTTTCGATTCTAGCATCTATATCGGATAATAGTTGACTTTCACAATTGTATATCCATTATTTTCTCGTCCCAAGTCTTCATCTTTCCTATTATTTCATTACTGTAGATGTATTCTCGTATTCGTGGTACTACACGGATTGGGCAGTCTGACGTAAGTGCAGATGTAGTTATTAAATTTAGTTCATTAATTTAATCTAGCTAAATATGCTGAAGAGTTTCATGCTAGGACGAAACAACTGTCCTATGCTTTCAGTCATAAAATGGCGATCTAGCTAAGACCACTTTGTGATTTTAACTCTTAGCGTTTGAGATGGTTTAATATGATGTGATTTGCTTCTATCTTATTTGATTTTATTTATCAGAAAACATTTTATGGTTATGCTTAACCCATGTTTTAAGTTGGTCAGCACAACGTAACCCTGTGTTACTGATGAATAATTAGTTATTGACTTTGATGCTATACTCTTACGATGTTCTCGTTACGTGACCTTTATTCAGCGAAAAGCGTTACGGTATTTGATTCATTTTTGTATTAGTTGTTTGAATCTTCCCATTGACGTTTAGGATTGCAATTAATCGACCTCTTACTGTCATATGTGTATCCTGTGCGGATTGCTTCGATATGGCCTTAAGTCACAAGCATTATAAACAAAGATGGATAGCGGCTAGGAATAAAATCCAGGACGCGCGTTCCGTCTTGTTTGGGACTCAGCTGGATGTACTTAAGTCCTTGAATTGATGTTCACTTTAGGATGCAGGTACATCCAACTGACGAGTTCCAGACAGGACGGAACGCGCGTACTGGATCTCACTGCTAGCCACCGTCCATTTCTGCTTATAATTTTTATGTGTTTGTTATTTGATCAGGATGTTCCGTTCTGTTCAGATTAACTAAGGGAGAGCCAAGAGCAAGCAAACCAAGACTTAAGTCCATGAAATAATCTACTGTCGAACAAAACCATTTTAGTGGCCACATGATTGTGACTCACACTGTAACCGTGCTTAGTGTTTGGGAACCTCGGGTAACTTCGCTTAAAGTCGAAACAGGTTTTGGCTTGTATAAAGAATGACTGACACATGAAGACCTATATATCTGAGTAGATACACAATCTAATTAAAAGAGACTAAATAAGATCAGTTACACCGTAGCAACTTTTGATTATGTTATAATTGTATTTTGCTAATAAACGATCCAGCTATTCCTATTGCTTAGTATTCTTACACAATGACACTCCACAAGACCCCAAAATCAGAACACGTTGAACAGGAATCAAATTGTATTCACAAATAACAATGGTATGTGAACAGCAATCACTAATTTGAATAACGTTCATATATTTATAGTATATACATAAGAAGCTTCTAGATTTTTCTGCAATAATATGCCCGGGCTGATCGGTTTAGAATTAGCTAATCAGCACGCAGCAACACCATCATGCATGAAACATGCTTTAATCCAATCTATGTCCAACTAACAGATTAATAATTAAATAAGTAACACCAGAGAGCTTTTCAGACTAATAGAAAAAAACTGGGATTAAGAAGTCAAGTGTAAGTGCGACGATTTCGAAAAGAGACGAAACTTATCTGCTCTCAGCCAAGACGTTAAGAACGATGGGTGGAACACTTTAAGGATCAGTTCAGCTGGCCTTCAGCTACTCTACAACTAGCCACCATTCCCAGACAGCCTAAATGAAACATTGAAGTAGGCTCCCTGACTCGAATCGAAGTTCAGAAAGCTATAGCTAATCTAAAACGAGGAAGAGCAGCTGGTCCACATGGATTGGCTCTAGAGGTCTTTAAGGATTGTGGTCCAGTTTTAGCGATAAGGTTGACTAGTATTTCAAATGAAAGCTGCTAGCTGAATTTGAACCCATCTGATAGGTCGCAAACACTGGTTGTCTTAATATATAAGAAGGGGCCAAAATCATCCTGTGATAACCATAGAGGGATTAGTCTGACTAACATAGCATCTAAAATACTTGCCTCAATAATTACCGAGCGCCCAACTAAGACTCACGAACTGCAAAAACGAGAAAATCAGACTGGCTTCAGACCTGGTCGTGGCTGCATCGACCACATATTTACTATCCGCCAGGTTTTAGAACACAAACATGCTTAATGGTGTCCGACAATCATAGTTTTTCTCTAGACCTAGAGGTTCTGTGACACTCATTGAAAGGCATGCGTCAGAAGTGCGTAAACCTTATTAAGGCTCTTTACTCGAACACTACCAGTCGAGTGAGAGCTTATGGCGAACTGTCATATGATTTTACAACCTCAAGTGGTGTCCGACAAGGTTGTCCACTATCCCCATTTTTGTTCGACTTTGTCATAGACCTACTGTCGGAAATAACGTTCTCGTCGACTGAATTTTCGGGCATTGACCTCTTACCAAGAGATCCACTTATCGACTTCAAATACGCAGATGATATAGTCCTGTTTGGTGAAGACGCTGATAAAATGCAGTCTTTTGGAAGCACTAAGCAACAATGCCAGGATGTTTGGGATGTGTTTACCCCCTCTAAATGCAAGTTGTTACTCCAGGACTCGTCTTTCCAGAGATAATAATTTGTTTGTTTAATACAAGACAACCGAATCCCACGTATAACAATATATTTTTCGTGTTCGATGCATTAATTTTTTAGTAGATAATACTGTCCCAACAGCACTAATATTTTTTTCATAAGTAATCGTCGTTAATAAAACGTGATACATAAAGTTAACATAGCTTCTGTTCGATGTTTACATTTGCACACATTGAATAGCAACAATTTAAAAGTGTAGGGTGGCCTAGATTATTATACTTTGTTAGATGTGCAAATGAAGGATAATACCGTTTACTGTCATTAATTACATTTCAACTACCCACTCATTATCACTAGTTTGTTTTAATTACTAAATTGGTTGGTTGTTTCAATGCAACATCTGTCCATTTTGATCAGAATATACCTTACAATTCGTGATTCTCTTAAGCCCTAAAGCACATATCTTGTCAGTAAACGACATTCATGAACCTCACGTATTTAAACATAATTGTCTTCAAAGCAGTAGTTGCGAATGGTGAAACTTGAAATTCATAATCATAAGGCCAATTATGGCGATCTAGGCAAAACTGAGTTTCTTGATAGGCTAATGAAGCTTCATTGACTAAAGTGATTAAGAAATGTGTTACATCTGCCCATATACTTCCTACATTGACGCGCAGCACTAGCCTCCGTAGGATTATACTGAAGTTTATCTAGAGGCTGTTAGTCGGAAACACAGCTTCAGTTAATAAACTGGTTGACTAAACCACCCCCTGACTTGGATCTACCTGATGATTACGATTAATGGTTGGAGTCTTTAGGTGGCATGGCACACGACTCGATTGCATTGGGAAAGATGTATTCATTCTGTTTCTTAGATCCTAAACTGTTGTGTCACTACATTTCTCTCTTCCTCTTTCCTAACCATATTTTCTTTGACATTTTTATACCACTTTTATACCATTTATATACCACTTTATAACACCATATTTAACTTTACCTTGATCTTCATATTGTTATTTTTACTTCACGATGTCAATAAGAAATGTAGTAACTTAAGCTGGTAGACATTCATGCGGCGTTCTGCGTTGTTTATGACATAAAATCCCACTATTATTTAGTTTCCATAATGTTCATTTTACGAATATCAATGCTGTTTGCTAAATTCTCTGTAAATAAGTATGTTTTCGGCTGCCAATCAATTTCTTATCAAGTACTGAGTATTAATTATAGTTCATTAATAAGATCCAATTTAGTATCTTGATTAAGTTACTGGAAATTGTTATGCATTTAAGCTTAATTTTAAAATTTCACGTATAATAATTAAGTCAGTCAATCGTAAGCATAGAAAAACCTATCAGATATATTCTTTAGTTCGAGTTGCCATGCTAGATCAGCCTAGCGAGATAAAATTATAAAAACCAAATACGTTGGTAGTGGAAAGAGTAATAGCATCAATAGTAATAGAAAAGGCTAGTCATAAACAATATGATTCGAAAATAATAAATTCGTGAAATTAAATAGTATAAGATCTTTTCAAAACGCAAACGAGATATGACGAGTATATGCATCTGAGCTGTTAGGACCGATCCTGTGTCTCGTCAACCGAATTATCTAACCATTAGCTGGGGTAGTCGTGCTGATCTTAACCAGATATTTTACCTACTAACACAGCTCGCTCAAACTAATGCCACATTTCGGTTAATCTGTCCGTAACTTCCAACCTACTCCCATGTCAAAAACCATCGCATGTAGCGGTAGACCACCTCAATTTACTAAGATTCACTACCTCACCATCTGATCTTCCATCTTTACCTAGTACTCTATACTCAACCTCGACCGTTGCTGCTACCTTGACGTGGTGGTCGGGCTTGCCTATCGTGATGAAGCAATCGAGCTATGCTGGCTGGAACAATCGTTCCTCAAAGTCATACCGTGCCAGACAAGTCGGTTGAAGAGCGGTAAGACTAAAAGCAGCAATCCCAAGGTCCGAAGGCGAAGTCGTACTGCCGACTGTACAGAGGTGTGACGGCAGTAAGGTGTTTCTTTCAGACAACCAGCATGACAGCGATGCTGCCTTCCCACAAGGAGGGGTGGGGTTAGAAAAGGTCGACCCTAAAAATGCACACCTCGCCTTATCCCACGGATTTCCGTCTCCGGCGGTAAGGTCCTTTGAAGAACAGAGCTAACACGTCAAAAATTCCCCACAAAAAGGTCGTGCGTGACCGGCCTCAAGCAGTTGTCCCTTGGGCACTGCGGTCACGCTCCCAGGTCATTAAGACCACTTCTAACCCAATTTCCTTTTCAGGTTCCTCAAGAAATACCCTTCCACGGTGTGGGCAGCCGGGAAGTGATAAATGCCCTCATACCCGTAACAGCACACGAGACCAAGTTGATCACTTTCAAATCCTTCCTACACCTCCTAACAACTCTCTTATCTCCACGTCTAACCCTTCCCACGTCCTTTTATCACCTCGCACCACTAGGGCAAACGATTCGTGTACACGGAACGTTATTCCTGGTCTCCTGAAACCGCTCTAAACGACATGTAGGAACTTTTAATGTCCGAACATTATGCCAAATAGGACAACAGGCCTCCCTAGCTAGGACTCTAGAATTTTAC